CATCCTCGTCGTTCAGTTTTGTTCTACATTGTACAAGCAATATTAGTTCCTATAAGGCCTATATAGAGTAAATTTTTCGAATACCTCCGCCAGGTAGGTAGAAAAAAAAAAAAAAAAAAAAAAGGTGGGTAGTGGTGTTTTTAACGGAGGTAATCGGATATTTTTTGTACATGATCGGTGATAGTGCAATTCCGTGTAATTATTCAATTTTTTTGTGATATTACTCCACTACTTTGTTATAATTATTAATACAAAGATAGAGAAGAAGAAAAAAAAAATCCTTCGTTTTCAAACAAACCAACGTTTCGGGCCCTTAACAGGTCCCATGGTCACGGTTGACTGAGGTGATACAGTCTTCAACCAGTTATGTCTAATATTGATGCAAACCACGCTATTTTTTCACTATAGTTGCAATAGTTATTAATTAAATACCTTATTTTTAATTTTACAAAGAAAACCAATTTACGTTACATTATGTTTTACAAATTATTTTATTGAATGAATTTTTATTTAGTTTTTATTAAGTTCAATTTATTATAAATTATTAATAGAAATTAGTCTCTGTTTTTTTTTTTTTTTTACAATATCAAGTGACGGGACGAACAAGTCGCGCGCCTGGTGGTAAGCTACATGCCTGTCCATAACAGTTACAGTGCCACTCAGAGCTTTAAATTGCAAAGATCTGAAGGGCACTACCACTGCGCCTGTCACCCTGAGACATAACTTGACAAGTCCCATGTGCCTGTAATTTCACCAGCACCCTTGCCCTTCAAAACCGGAACACAGTAATGCTGACTATAAAGACTGACTGGAAATAAATAAAATAAAATAAATATTAGAATATAGATAGTACGGGGTACCCGGTTTGCTACATGGATCTCAAAACACGAATTACGGAGTTTACAGTGCGATTCCATGTGATTTCTGTGTAATTGCCGCCTACTGCTTTTCCATAGAGATATATCAACAACCTACTGATAAAATACAATGATTTACTTATTATCATTGAACATTTTATATTGAATCAATTTACTAAAATTGCTGACATTTTTGTGTGCGGTCATGTACACAGTAGTGTTGACTATTTCATGTTTTTGCTTTGTGGTCATTTTATTACGTATTACTAATTTTTTATTTTTTATTCATTTTTTTGTTATTCTATTTTGTTTTTGTTTTAATTTAGCTTTATCTTTTTTTTAAATTTCTTACTGTGTGTTTTTGTGTCGTGACGTTGTGTAATAAATGGTTTCTATTCTATTCTATAATTTAATTTGTTGTGATTGTGAAGAGTACTGAATATCATGATATAGCACCACCATGATAGTCAATTATATTTTTGTGAAATTACTTCACTAGTTTGTTATAATTGTTAATAACAAAGATCGAACACACGGAAAACGCTGGATTCAAACCAGCACCTTCAGGCAATCAGTGCCAGATGCTCTGCCAGTTAAGTCATGGAACGAACCAGCAAATCTTACTAATTCTTCTTGGTGCTTCTTGCAGATCTTTATTTTTGGTTTTTAACGCGATTTTGTTGTGATTAATTCCTATAAAATTTAAAAATATATAATTTGCCACGTTTGTTTTTGTCGGCAGTACTTCTTATCAATGGTGTCGTGCACGCTGCCCGTGCCGGCCGGTATCTTCGTGCCCGCGTTTAAGATGGGCGCGTGCATGGGCCGGTTCACCGGTGAAGTGATGCATTACTTCTGCCCTCTAGGGGTAGCGTACGGAGGACATATACAGAAGATTCTGCCAGGTAACAATAATTATGATACGGTCATATTTTCTATGTAAAAACTTTAAAAAAACTACTAGAAATTAATGTAAATTTATTTGCTACTCCGCGAACCCAGCGAAGGTTAAATCGTATCGTCTCGTTTAATTTTTTCATTTATTTCTTTATTTATAATCAGGTTACAAAGCCCCAAAAGTATTTGTAAGACTAACTAGGTAACCTCTCTAATAGCTTGAGGCTGTTGGATTTTTTTTTATAATATCAAGTGACGGGACGAACAAGTCGTGCGCCTGCTGGTAAGCTACACGCCTGTCCATAACAGTTGCAGTGCCACTCAGAGCTTCAAATCGCAAAGATCTGAGGGGCACTGCCACTGCGCCCGTCACCCTGAGACATAAGTTGACAAGTCCCATGTAATTTCACTAGCGTAAGAGATGCTGCGAAACCGGAACACAGTAATGCTAACGTTACTGCTTGGCGGCAGAAATAGGTAAGGTGGCAGTACTTCCCTCAACGAACTCTTTCACAAGGAGCTCTCCTGTGTGTGTTTCTGTGCTACAGGCCTTTTAACAAAAATCGCAGCTTCAGTTGTTGATACCATTGTTACCAGGTGGCTACGCGACAGTGGGGGCTGCGGCGTTCACAGGCGCTGTCACTCATACCGTGTCCACTATGGTTATCGTGATAGAGATGACGGGACAGGTAAGTTGTTTAAATTCTTCTTATTATATAGTTTTTTCTCTATTTACTACAATATAAAAAGCTAGCCCGTGCCTTAGGTCACAGTGTAACCTTAGCACACTCATATAATCATAATAATCATAGAACAAAACAAAGTAGCACTTGACTTCACTTGGAGCGTAGGGTTGTCACAATCTTATTTTAGTTGTGCAAAATTATATAATTTGAAAAAGAAAAATGGATTCATCACAATCTTTTCGTGCTATGTTGTAATAATCTTTGTATTATGAATATGCAATATTTACATATTGATATGAAAGAAAACGTAATAATAATATAATAAACTTCCCGCTCAAAACAAACCTGTGACACTAGAACACTTTTATATCCCCAATCCATTTTGTTCTAATTATGACCACCTTAATATGTGGCTTATTGTGCCACCTTCGTTCGTTTTTTAATGTATTTCGTCGGTTGCCCAAACATTATATCGACTTGACTCGATTGTCAATTTTACAGGATGAAGAAAAGAATTGTTTACGTCATTTTTATATAGCACCTCGTTAGAAGTTAGTACAAGTTGAATGAAGTCGATTATGGCACCAAAATTAAATGTATCTGAGATGTAGTTTCTTTCTTGCAACGCCGCGAAGTATGAAATTTGAATTGAGATAACCGTAATCGATATATCGAATTATTGTCACGTTTTTCTAACTTCCAGGTAACGCATTTATTGCCAATCATGGCGTCAGTACTAGCCGCGAACGCAACAGCCGCTCTTCTACAGCCGTCCTGCTTCGATAGCATCATCCTCATCAAGAAACTGCCTTTCTTACCCGATCTCCTCAGCTCTGCTAGCCGTACGTACTATCCATTCTTCTTCTTATCGTGTCGATATTTTAAGACTATATTGACTTCGAATAGTATGTTGCCATCTTGACTACCATGGCGGCGGAGAGATCTTCTCTCGGGTACGAGGGGCACACGAGCAAGTGCTGCATGGACTGTGTTGGGGCATCTCAGTTTTTTTTTTTATTATATCAGGTAACGAGAAGGACAAGTCGTGCGCCCTGTTGCAAGCGACACGTCTATCCATAACAGTTGCAGTGTCCATCAGATCGTTGCGAATTAAACCTCTAAGTGGCAGTGCAATGGATTGGCGTGACGCTTGCCACCAGGCGCACGACTTGATCGTCCCGTCACTTTGCAACATAAAAAAATAATTTGGAACACCCAGATTAAATGTATAGAAATCACGAAAGTCTATACAACCTCAAATGGCTTTGGCTGATTCAGTGAACGTGTTTGAATCTCGAATTTGAATGAAAATACATAAAAAAATTGATGATATGCACCGATCACTATGCGGTAAAACACGATTTAAAAAAATTTTCACGATAAAAATTAAATTAAATGAAAATTTATTTGCTTAAAACATGGTGAACAAGAGATGGAACACAGTAGAGAGATAGAACCCTTATTTTACCACATCTATATTGCTCTATCGTTTGGTAGAGCATTATATATTTGGACACACATCCCATTGCAATGATTTTTATAGTAGGACAGTCTAGGTACATTATTTTAAACCAGTCTATTTGGATGCCTTAAACATCTACTATGGATATCTTTTCTTTTTTGAAAGACATCTAGGTTTTGTTTAAGAAACCAGACTTCAAAAATATACATAAACGGCTAGGGTAATATTCCCAAGTCTATAAACAATGGTACACACGATTGAGCTGACAAAATACCTGTCATTGACCGGACACATTTTTGAGCTATGAACAATTTTTCACAAACTGTTGAGTTACCCCAAACACAAAAAGTACATATCTAATCAGATATGCAACGTAACCCAAAACTGTGTGTGGTGATGACACATTTCGCAATCTCCTCAAAACGTATACGTAGCGATGTAACTAGTTTATTAATGCCAATGAAAAAAAAACACAAACGTACCTCCAAATTTTACAAGAAAACCCCTGAATTCAATAGGGACTTGAAGACAAAAGGGACTTTACATATACCAATGGTTTTTTTTTCATATCAACTGAACTAAATAAGACACGTGTAGTATACGATATATACTTTTCAAGTGGCTTTAATATCGTCTGTAAAAAGCAAAAAGAACCGTATTAGTACGACTAAAATGTTATAAAGAGAGACAGAATAGTACGATTTATTTTACGTCCGAAGCAAAGACTGCAAAGTTTTGACACACCGGGTCGATTATTATGTATAACTGTAACACTTGTGCAATCACCAAAATGTTTTACTGACTTAATTGAACGATTAGTTACCAAAATTAGCTGTGAAAGTCACAAGACGAGGTGGCCGAGAGGTTAAGGCGTTGGACTGCTAATCCAATGTGCTCTGCACGCGTGGGTTCGAATCCCATCCTCGTCGATTCGTTTTTTATGTATTGACACTACTTTACTTCTTAATTTTTTTAAATTGTTCTTTTTTGAAAAACTCTAAACGCTCAATGTAAACAAATTTAAATTACTAAATATTAAAAAAATTACATTACGGAATATGTAGAACATATTGTGATCAAATTTGTTGTAACCATGACATATTCCATGATAGCGTTCAAGGAGTCAGTCACCAAATAGTGATTTGAACTTAGCATTTTAAAATATATATACTTAGATATGTATATTTCTATACATTTTTCTAAATTTAGATAAGTTATGTTTATGTGCTTTCTTTTGTCTTTTATTTATTCTCATTTACAAAATAACACAATTTATATTTTCTTGTTTCTAAATCATTGGAATGCAGATTTACTGTTTGAAAATAGTGTTTTAATCTATATTCTGTAATCTGTACAATTACAAGAAAAATAAAATAACTGTAATAAGCATTGACAATTAAACTAGTGCAAAAGCATTGACAAGTTAATAGACACTACCGTAGTGACAACGACTTTGTGGTGTCCAGTAATTTGAGAATATCGTAGTGACAAATAAACTTGAACCTGTGGAATGTATTTGCCCTCTTCGTGTATGGGATAAGTTATAATTATTGTTATTGTATTGTTGCACTACGGCAACGAAAGGTCGTTAAAAATCACAAAAAAAGATGTGCAGCATGCACGTAGAAAAATTCGTAGGTCCAGCTGATTCGTTCCGTAGCTCAGTTGGGATAATTAGCTACGGTATGGTGAAAGCGCTGGTTCCAGTCTAACCGGATCGAATGAATTTTTCTTAGTGTTCTATCTTTGTATTAATAGTTTTAATAAACTAGTAATAATAATAATAATAGGCGGGAGTCTAAAATAGATGAATAATAATAATAATAACTTTATTCACTCACACTAAGGCAATGGTAAATAATACATTATTAGCAAACAAAAAAAACCATTCACGAACCTTTGTCAGAGAACAAATAAGTAACGAGAACGGACACTCTCCGCCCCTGCCTAGCTTTAGATACCGCACATTGACGGTCACATTGGCTGAACGAGAACAAGGCTGTCGGCGAGCCGTTTTCGCTTTAAGACGGCTTTGATATTATTGATTATTTGTGATCTCTAAAATAAAAATATGTAATCGAGAAAAATAGTGTTTTTCACAACTTTAGACGGTGGTATACAACGAAGACCCCGTGGAGTTTTGCGATGTTCTTCCTCCCTTTACAGCGCAACGACTATCAACGGGAGAACTTGAATAATTTATTAAAAATAGATATATTAATTGCTAAATTAATACTGATCATTATTGCAGGTATGTACGATATTTGTGTGGAAGACTTCATGGTGCGCGACGTCAAGTACATCTGGGACAAGATGACCTTCCAGCAGTTGAAGGATTTGCTCAAAGAAAACAAGGTATGAAGACAGCTTTTGTTTATCTAAATACTATCTTACAAACGGTTGTATACGGCTCAAATTTCAAGTACATTGTGCGCCGGTTAACGGTTAACAGAACACTAACGTAAGTACACATTGTATACTAATGATGTACCTACATATACCTCTATAGTCTTTTTTGATGATGGAGTAAAGTGACATTGCACAAAAGTGTTGCCCGCTTGCAAGCAGCTAGTGATTGCAGTCGATAAAATATTCTATCGACTATCGACTTAATGTTGGTTACGCTTATGAATAAATAGCTGAACTTGTCTCATCTGAATCATCGTCGGCCCATTAATCGTCCAACCGCTGAGCACAGATTCATTTGCATTTAAAATTTTTGAAAATTTATACATATACATTACATACACTAAATTTAGCAGTAAGTGTATGGAAAGTACAAATAGGAGACATATTTTAAAGTGTTTCATTTCAATTTAATATACATATAATGAAATCCGCCGGTCGTTATTAAAATGTGTATAACTAAAAATTTATTACGATATTAATAGACCCTTACTAGACATTGTCAAAATAGAACGCCGTAACATCCACAATTCAGACATTTTATCTACTTTCACAATCTATCGATAAAATTGTCGACTACAACCACATGACTACTTAAAATTTTAGAAGAACTGGCAATCACGCAAATGTCATTTTACTCCTTAAAAAAGATGGACTATAGATAATAATATAATTTACTTTAGTAGGAAAGTAAATAATAAGTTATAAGAATAATAAATAAATAAAAATAGGAAGTTTATAACACTTTGCAATAAGGATATGAATGAAGAGATGGGAAAGAAAAAACGTGACTTAGAAGTTAAGAAATTGTTCCTTAACATGTGGTTTAAAGAAATCAAGAGAAGGAGAGAATACCATAGCTGGATAGTAGATACAGTAAATGAGTTGGAGTAAAATCGTGTAGAAGAGTGAAAAATAAAGCGTTCTTTAAGGACCGTATACACGGGTCCTACCGGCGGGCCAATTCCATTAAGCCAAGCCACTATTAGCATCGTGCAAATAGAGACAATTCATTTTAGACTGTCTCCAGACCAGCGATAAAGACAATCCTCTGAACAATTTCTAATTTTACGGGCTAATACCTTACCCCACCTCGCGTGCATTGAGTTGGCTCGTGTAATGGCCTTGTGTGAACGTGCATCCTGAGCCAATCCACTAGTTTGCCTGGCCATTTAGTAAAAAATGTTAAATAATCTTATTGTAACACTGGCTGTAGTGTCGATAGACGTTGAGAATTTCGCATTTTTCACTAGACTGATTTACTGGAGCTTTATTTAATTTATTTCCACTTGTCTCATCGACTTATGATATGTTTACTATACCTTCCACAGGCAATAAAGAGCTTCCCGTTAGTAGACAGTCCATCGAATATGGTACTTCTCGGATCCATCCACCGCTGGGAATTAGTCCGCGTGATCGAAAAGCAAGTGGGTAGGGAGCGAAGGCTACAGGTGGCCGCCATGTGGCATAGGGAAGCTGAAAAGAGGCGGAAGGAAGAAGAGGCTAAGAAACGGCAGAGGCGACCTTCGAGATTCGAGGTGAGACTACGACAGTTAATGTATAATGCCGAAGTAACCGCAAACACGGTAATAGGTATGCTTAAACTAAAATTTATTTGTGAAAATTGTAACTACAACAACCCGCCATTTTCTTTTTAAAAAATTGCACTGCAAGTGGAAAAGCGAACACATTGCAGTAGTACAATTTTTCGTCCTTCACTACAGGCTAAGGCGACCAATTAGCCATACTACCGGATCACTTTGATTTTCTTATACAAAAGCAGAAATGCGTGTTGAAAAAAGCCCGAATACATTATGCATAAGTAATTTTTTTATTTATTTTTTCTTACCATAGACATTTTTTTAAATATTTAAAAAACACACATTACTTCTTACGTATTCATTGTTCATTTTCAAGCATGTTAAAAATACATTTTTTTATTTGTGATCTAATTATTGGTTTATCCGACGTTAATACCACGAAGAAAGCAAAATAATTTACTATTTTGCAGGTAACGCCAGCTCCGGATATGCTGCAAGTTCCCGGTACAGGTCTCACTCGAGGAGGATCGCTCACCACCAAAGACCAAGGAGGCCTTATACCAGGTTGGAAGAGTTAATTGTGCTTGTGTTCTAATAAAATGTTATTCGTTTTAAGAAGAATAGTGATTTTTGTGTAAAAAAAAAACTTTGTGCATTTCGATCGGCAGTCTGAACGGAAACGACACGCGACACGTCTTTTCACTCTTAATGCATGGACATGAAGGTTTTTCTGACCTATTCTAGCCGATTCCGCGTTAATAAGTGTGTGTGATCCTAATAGCTAATTTTGGAATTATTTAAACAGAAAAGTATGGCTTGATACAGTTGAAAAACACTAACCAGTCTATTCCGAGCCCAGAGCATGTCCCGGGACATAGGAAACCATGGGTTATGGAATGGCACAACACAACAGTACAGTTTTGAGGCCTCTTGATAGGTTTTTTTTAATTTTATGTGATATTTTCACTTTGCGTACGCGCGTCTTTTCGAGTTTCTTTGAAGACAGTGGCGCCACCTCGTAGCGTGATGGCGCGCGTAAGTATTGCTCTATGGGTGAACCTCGAAGGTTGAGGAGGTTTCAAATCAAGCTATAGAATAAAAAACCCAAAAAAAGGTGCCCGGACCCTATGATAACGTCACCGAATCCTGCCAAACTTCAAAGTCGGTTGTTTATAATAATAATAATAATAACGCACATACTCAACATAGCCCCGCACTAGGGAAACCCTGTGTCGCGGGTGCCATGGACACACACATAGACAACCACAAATTACACCCAAACTCACGAGAGAAATAAATGTAGGTCATACAAATATTTCTCCCGGCTCGGGAATCGAACCTGGGACCTCTGCGTGGCAGTCCGGCATGGTAACCGTTCGGCCACGGAGGCAGTTATGTCGCGTATTTAAAGATTATACAAACTTGTTCATCCCACATAATCGAAAATCGATCTGAGCAGAACCATTCGAGGGAAAATGTAACATCGTGATCTGGTATTTGCATAAAATGGGTCAACGCCATCTAGCGAATTTTGATGGAACTACAAAATGCTTACAGCTGTCTATAGCACACAATAGCTTTATTACACACGTAACTTTATGTCCCAACAGCTCCTGGTCAACTATTCCGTCCGAAGTCAATCCTCAAGAAGACCAACTCATTCACCCTCACCCGAGGTTTGGGGTCACCGACCTCAGCACCTCAGTCGCCCTTGTCGGCTCAGCCTTCCGTATACACCACAGTCACCGGGGCCGAAACCAGGTTAGTATGGTTTTTTCTCATATCGTCATGTTATTGAAACAGCGATGCTAGAACGACATTTTGAAGCTGACACATGCCATGGCTTTGTGCCATGACCTAAAAACCTGATCTCAAATTACAAAATTTCCTGTACTAAAAGTTCCTTCAGTACAATAAATTCTCTAATTAAATTAAAGTTTGAGTTTACTGCGTAATTTTTTGTTTAAACTTAGGCGAAGTTCGTTTTGTAAATACGAAAAACCTGCTTAGTTCTCCATTTTTACTCAAGACGACTCAATGGAGGAGAAGTGGGATAAATCTGTTTTCCTAGATCAAATAGTCTAGATATATACTATTAAATAATTAAGAATTGTTCAAGAACAAAATATCTAAGTTTGTACATCATTTTTACATGGAGATATTTTTCTTTAAGTACTACAGAGAACCTGCTAAATTTTGGTTTTCAACTGAAGACCCATAGTTCATAATTTCACATTTATCCCAAAATTTGCAAATTGCCCAGCGGCTTAACGATACACCACATCGCCCGCTGCCTTCTCAGTCGCCACCAGGCACTTGTCAACGTCGGATCTGTGTAAATTTCTTTCCACATGTTCTTGTTTTATTCATATTAATTTTGATTTTGTAATTTTTAGAATCCGTGCGGCGTTCGAAGCCATTTTCAAGCGATCGTCGCTGCTCCCTGACGTGGAGGGCGGTCTGCCTGACCAAGTGGGCGGTTTGCCGCGCACTCCGTCCATTAACAAAAAAGTGCAACTGGTAAGTTCATGGCCCCATGATGGAGTCCTTAGTAATGTACTGGACGTCTATCTAGTGCGAATATCTAATATAACTACAAATTCATTTGTAACTGTTTTTATTTATATATAAGCATAATTGTATGATAATAAATAAAGGAAATACAGTACTGAATATGCTTAATATACAAGTAATGAAAAAAATGGATTTTTCTGTAAATAACGGCACTAATGCCCACACAGTGGGGCATCATGCTACCCCTGTAAATGACAAAAAAATTTTTTATATATTTTTATTTTATTTAATAGTAGTAGAGGCCCTGAACACCGCCGTAAAATTGCCTGCTTATCAGTATTCTACAAAACTATAACAATTAAATACGAGCCAAAAGACGAGGTAAGGTGGCAGTACTTCCCTGGACGAACTCTGTCACAAGGACCTCTACTGCTACTAGAATGTACCACTTTTGTAAATGTTGTGTATTTCGTAGCCCCGTGAGCGCGTGTGCGACATGTCCCCCGAAGACCAGAAGGCGTGGGAGCAGCTCGAGATGGCGAAAGAAATAGACTTCGATCGGATGCTTCAGATCGCCAGAAAGAGAGACACGGTATGAACCATACAAGGTTAAACAGTAATACATATGTAGTCCATTATTGTTATTGATACAAAAATCGAACAACACAGAAAAACTATGTCGGTGAGGATATTCAACGAGCTCCCGCCCATTATTAAAAACGAGGAAAAGTATTGACTCTTTGTAAATAAATTAAAAATATCTTATTAATAAATGCTGTTACAATTTAAATTAATACTTTGATGACAAATAAAAATAATAATAATAACGCACACACTCAACATAGACCCGCACTAGGGAAACCCTGTGTCGCGGGTGCCATGAACACACACATAGACAACAGCAAATTACACCCAAACTCACGAGAGAAATAAATGTAGGCCATACAAATATTTCTCCCGGCCCGGGAATCGAACCTGGGACCCCTACGTGGAAGTCCGGCATGGTAACCGTTCGGCCACGGAGGCAGTTAAAAATTATTAATTTAAGAGTTAAGAATTTGAATCATAAAACGCGTGTGTGTTTGTGTGTGTGTGTGTGTGAGTGTGAATAAATCTTAATTATATACTATAAAGTTATGTTATTGTAATCTAATTAAATTCAAACTTTCAAGTGACATAATTCTACTTATTATATGACGTATTTCTTATTGTATGACATATTTTTTATTTTATATTATTATTTGATACAATTCAAATTAATAGTTGAATTCTCGGCCAACCTCTGCTCTTATTGTTATTCCTAATAAAGGGCTCATATGTGTAGTAATCTTTGAATTTTAAGACATGTATATACCATATGAATGCAATAAATATATTGAGTATCTGACTGGACTGGGCTCTGTTGGTAAAAGCGGTGGCCCCGGTATGGTAATAGACTGGTTCCAGTCAAGTCAAATCGAAGCAGTTTTTTTTAAAGTGGAGTAAAATGATAGTGTTGCGCACTTGCAAACAGTGATTGCATTCGATAAATATTCTATCGGCTATCAACTGAATGTTGGCTTCGCTCATATTGTCGATTTTTGTAAAGTTATTTAGAACAATGTGTATTAAAATAACAAAGAGGAGACTTATTTTAAAATTTTTCATTTTAATTCAGTATGTTCACATTTCTGACATTTTTGCAAAATTTTCTTTCACAATCTGTAGATAAAAGTGTCGACTACAACTACATGATTATTTAAAAATTTATGAAAACTGGCAACCCTGCAAATGTCATTTTACTCCGTCTTCAAAAAAGACGGGCCATAATGGAATATTTTCACAAATAAAAATAATGTAATAAAGCAGTAAAAAACATCATGATATTCAATAAAATTAATATTGCAACGCATAGTCCGATTTGTCGATTGAATTTATTGAACAAACACAAGCTTACCTACTCCATGTTTTTACAGCAGGTGGAAGACACCGACTACGAGGACGAGAACCTGTACATCTGCCACATCGACCCAGCGCCGTTCCAGCTGGTCGAAAGAACTTCACTCCTTAAGGTAAATTAGTTAATCAGGACTTTATGGTAATCTTGTTTATTTGAGTCTATGGTAGTAAGTGTTAGGCGTGTCGCTATCACGGGTGCAATGACAGTGCCCCTTAAGAGGCCTAAAAATGCCGAATTCCTTGCAATTCTATAGCAATTCCTCTTATTTTCGTAAAACGGTCACTCTGAACGGTCAGCTGGTGAACTGAATTGTGTCCAATTCAGTTCACCAGCAGATTGTGCTTAGGTGTTATAATTGCCGTATCAAAAAAAAAAACCGTATAATATTTTATAGATGGTTTATTATGAGAATTTAGTGTAAATAAATATGTTAATCGATAAAACAACTACATAAAAATATTAAATTACCAATAAACCAAGAATTTCGTAAATTTTCAATTATTCGGCTGGCAACACGTTAAACAAATGTTTGACATAAAAGCAATTCCTATTTTGTAGACAATTTTACTCACTTCCATTCAACAGTGTCAAATAGTGTCAAATGCGTTATATTAAACGGAATCACATGTCATCGGTAATTAAATATGTAATTTTGCAATTTTCGTCCATTATGGCAATGCTCAAGTTAAGCTGGTCGACTTGAAGTGAAGCAATTGACGACACACCCGTCAATTATTTCAAATTCGAGCTGGCCAATCGGAGCGCAGTTGTCTTCGAAATGATTCGGTAGAATAGTTTTCAAACAAATGAAATGACGTTTCATCTCTATTTCTGGTTATATATACTCGATGATCACTGGACAACCCATAACTTCTAATATATAAAAAATATATAGTAATTTTGTGAGAAAAGTTAATGATGTATTGTTTTATTTTAACAGAGTAGTATAACATTGTCAATGTTTACTTGTAAATTGCAACACCCGCTCGTGTTTTTACGAGATACATTTCTCTGTCAAAGTCAAAGTCAAAGATTATTTATTCCATAGGTAAAATACATTTACACTTGAAAACGTCACATTTAAGCTACTGCTCGTTCACTACGCTGACCTCCCTGAGAAGAACGAGCAAGAAACTCTAGGGATTGCTCTTTTCAAATAAACTTAAATGCTATGGAATACACTTTGAATCAAATTTGTGTGGATTCTGGAGCCATGTCGTCTTTCCATACATCTTTATCTAACACGTAGTCTTCAATTTTGTAATATGATTTTTCGATCAAAATATTTTTAAAGTAGTTTTTAAACTTAGGAAGTGATAAACTTAATGTATGCTCCGTAATCTTATTGTAAAAACGTATACAGCTCCCCATAAAAGAGTTGTTTACCTTGGTTAAACGAAATCGTGGTACCATGAGTTTGGACTTAGCTCTAAGGTTAATATTATGGATATCTTCTTTCTTATTGAATGTCTTCTGTGCTATCCATTGCAGTTAAATAAATAAATATAATAAAATAATTTGTAACAATTTGTATTCTAGGTCCACTCGCTGTTCTCGACCCTGGGCGTGAAAAGAGCGTATGTCACGGCCATTGGTCGACTCATAGGAGTTGTTTCACTCAAAGAGGTGAGCTGTACAAGGTTATTTGTAATAACTAACCTCTCAGAAGTACACTACGGACATCATAAACAACATCTTCTGTTTCATGAGTTTTTACATAACATAATAAATTTGATAAAAATAAACTTTTAAGTTTTTCTTACTATCTGACACTTTTTAGTTTTGTATTTGATTGGGCCACCCCACCACCCAATTAATTAGATACGATAGTAGGGAAAGTTTGTCCAGGGAAGTACTGCCACCTTACCTATTTCTGCCTTCCGGTTTGGAAGGGCAAGTGCTGGTGAAATTACAGGCATATGGGACTTGTCAACTTATGTCTCAGGGGGCACAGTGGCAGTGCCCCTAGGGTCTTTGCGATTAAAAGCTCCAAGTGGCACTGCAACTGGCGTGTCACTTACCACCAGGCGCACGACTTGTTCGTCGCGTCATTTGGTATTATAAAAAAAAGCATAATAAATGAAAATCACCTTTATTGCGGGTATTTTCAAGCGAAGCGACGGTAAGAACACTAACGGAAACCGCCCAGATGTTGTTGATGTTAACTGACCTCACCGTGATTGAATGGCCTGAATACCTCCTTACAAACATTATTCATAAATTATACAAAGCAAAATACATTCGAATGAGCCCTGTCGAAGTACTTTTTCATATAGTGACTTAGGATTAAGAGAACTGTATTAAAATTACCGTCTGTTTCCACAGCTGCGCAAAGCTATAGAAGACGTGAACTCCGGCGCACTGACGATCGCCACTCGGCCGGAGCCGCCCTCCTCGCCCATGCCCATGTTCATCAAGGTGCCCTCGACGCAGCCGGCGCCGCCCACCGACAGCGAAACCGCCAAACTCACCATCAGCGACGACAAGGGAGACAAGTGAGGACGGCGTCGCCCTTCCTGGACACAGCATTCACTCCTGACATGGGCTGACATACTTTTCATTTAATCACCAGCCACGCCTGAACAATTTCCCCAAGTAGGTAAACTGTTCTAAAAAATGTGTTAACTTTATCTCAATTCAAGGCAAATAGTCGTATTTACACTAAACTTCTTAAATGAAGAAACTCATTCTCAAAAGTGACCATTAATTTTAACTATTATATAAATTTAAATGTTGAAAAAACCAGTGGTTTAAATATTATTTATATTTTGCTGTTTACGTAACTACAATATACGTACATGCATTATTTTTATATAATATCGTCTATTACAGACATGTTTTGTTATATGTTTTACAAATATTTATTATATTGACAACATTTTGATCATAATTCCGTTTTTATCCGTTACGTTGTTAAAAAATTTTAGAATAATCGATCAGGATCGTATCGACCTGATACTAAATGGAAATACATTTTCACCGAACGTGAATAAACATGTTCACCAAATGGGAATAAACAATGTGACCAAATTGAAATAAAAATGACAACCAAATGGAAATAAACTGATGACCAAATGGGAATAAACGTGATCACTAATTGTGACCACGGAAGGGATGGTAACATTCTCAACTGAGCATAATCGTCTAACAGTTATAAAACATATTTTTACAAATTTTACCTTATATATTTTTTCTATACTGTATTTTTTTATTGTTGTTAAGGTTTTGATAAAAAAAATTTCGATGTATGGAATATTATACCATATACCATTAACTCAACAAGACTGCTAATCTCCATACTACAGGTCGTAACTCTGAAAGGAGTCAAAATCCCCTCTTATATCCAGATGGCGCTGATCAATAGATTGGAAGTGGTTTATATTATATAAATGGCCGTGGATATTAATTAATTCCTCTTTAATGTGAAATATAAGAAGTCAGCAGTGTTCTTTATAATATTATTTAAACATCGAGTATTTAACCAGAAATAGAGACGAAATAAGGGCCATCCCTGGCAACTCATCAGGTAAATAGGCCTTATATCACTTTTAAATATCAACTCACGTTTGCGCTGAAATCACGAATTCGAAAACTGAAATAGTACAGCGCCAGTAACTGATCTTTGTGTTCGTCTCCGTGTATTCCATAAATATGTATTTATTGTAATAAAGATAATATCTCTAACGATGAGAGGGTGGTGTGGGAAAAACAGCAAAATATCTAATTACAAAACAAACGGCAGGCTTATTACCGAACTTTAGCAACCGGTTGTTAATTGTACAATAGCAATGCGATTGCTACCAGTTGCGATTGCTAAGTTGGTATTACGGTTCGGTAATACGAAAAAGCAACCGGTCGCTTTCTGTCAAAGCATTTTCATGCAGTTTTAGTTTATTAGTTGCTCGCGGGAGGCGCTGTAGTCGACTGGTCGCAATTGTTCGTTCCGTAATACGAATTTATGTTTTGACAGCGATAATCGTGCAACTATTGCTAAAACGACTGGTCGCTAAAGATCGGTAATAAGCCTGCCGAATCACATTTCATCGGTAATTAAATATATAATTTTGCAATTATCGTCCATTATAGCAAAGTTCAAGTTAAACTGTCGATTTCAAGTGAAACAATTGACTTCGGATTGAATTCGCACTGGCCAATCGGAGCGCAGTTGTCACCGTAATGATTTGGCAGAATAGTTATCAAACAAATTAAATGACATTTCGTCTCTATTTCTAGTTATATATGTATTCAAATTCGGTGTGTAACGAATTGATTTATAAATTAACGATTCCCAATATGGGTAGATGGCGCTAAGCCTAAATAAACTAAAAGGGTAGCTTAAACATAAAAATCTGTTCAATAAGCGCCATCTAGTTGATTTGTTTGTTATCACTACAAATTAGAGCGGCTTTGATATATTGCAGCTTGTCAATGTAAACGAAACTACATACTCGTTGCGACATCTGGTGTACAAATCGATTAGCAGTCTTCTTGAATTATTTGGTCCCTACATATTATACTTAGATGCATGGTGCGTTTGAAAGATGTAATAGCTATTGTAAAATGCCCTGTGCCTTAGTTATTCCTAATAATAACATTAATATAAAGTGTATCCTTTCTCCACACGAAGGACGAACCTGTTACAAGGTTAAAAATTAAAATTGACAACCCTGTGTATGCGCCAAAATTATTTATTAAGGCTTGTGATTCCCTTAAATCATTCCAAAAGTGTTGTTTTTAGCGTTTAAGTGATAATTATGTTTTAGTTCTTTGCATTGTACTGTAGATGAAATTATGGTATAGAAAGAGTAGCTAGTCTTGTTATCTTGTCGATGGCATACACTGTAATGCTTGCCATGGTGGCGAAAGAATTTGCTTTTGATTGTCACCCAGGATGGACCAGATATACAGGAAAGGAAATGGTATGCCTTGCGGAAACTAGTCTCTTGTCGTGCGCTCCGCTTTTCGTGCATAGTTACTAGGATATTCCAGTAGCTAGTGAAAGACAAACTAGCTAGGAATAGTAAGTATTGTACGATAGGAAGTTTGTGTGTATGTTCAGACGTACGAGAGAGAATGTCGTGTATTCTATGAGCGTGTACTTTGAAGACGCCCTAAATTCCGTTTACAGTAGAATGTTGAAAGTTAGTCACAAAAAGGAGTCAAATATTCATTTTTTTTGTATAATCATTGTACATATTTTTTGTTATAAACACTTTTTTTTTGTAATTTATATATTTGTGCCATTTCTACAGCTTCAAGTGCCATGGCTCATTTTTGATTTGATTTTCTGTGGCCTATAATCGTTGACCTGTAGGTCAATGCCTATAACTATTATTTATATTTAAATGGAAATTATTTTCCACGGGAATATGTTTCATACGTGAGTTTTATTTCGAATATTTCCGTCCTAAAGGTATATTTTAATTATAAAAAAATATATATTTTAATTCAACGATGCTAATCACTTTCTCCCGGTTGCTGTAGAGAGATATTTTAATTGTTAAACGGTGAACCATGTTATCTGTGGTATGTGTCATTTAAAAACATGAATTTTATTGTTCTATATTGACAGTTGTATTTGACCATTTTATATGGCAAATTATGCAACGCCCTCTAGTGGTGCCAAGAAGAAGTAACATTTTACATACAAGTTTTTTTACGCAGTCGTTATCTGCGAACGTGATTGTAAACTCATAGTAAAGGTACACCAGACCACGGACGACTGTGTCATTGCTGTGCCATGGAATCTAAAATAAATAGCATATATATTTATTTGGCATCAGAAACAAAAAAGGAAACTAATACGTATTTTGTTTACAATACAGTACGACAATTTCTTAAAAATGTCTCTCGACAATCTTCGGATTACCGAATACATCTGGGTACTAATTTCCTTTAATTAAAATATCTACCTAAAATATCTCTTTAATTGTAAACTGCACAGTTAAAACGTTGACTTCTGTATAATTTAGTTAATTTGTGAAATTTTGCATCCTTTGTATCCTCAAATTCTGTGATGTAGATATTTATTTATGAAGTACGAAAATTATTCTCGTTGTAAGCCAGATTTTTTCTGTTGTAACGTAATTATGCCATTTTATTTATATATAAGGAATTGTTAAAACTGGACGCCGGAATCAGGAGAATATTGATCGTAATGATTCTAACTTCTGCGGACAGATGGCGCTGTTAGTGTCACATGCATTTAATTCCCCGCTACAATGAGAATGTTGTAAGGCGAAAAGTGTTCTTTTCTGGTCAGCTTTTTAAAAATATCAATATTTTTTTATAAAATACTAACAACCTAGCTGGACTAACATCATAAACAATAACTGTTGCTCCATGACTTTTTACAGAACTTATTATATTTACCAAAAATAAACTTTGTTGTACTTACTGACACTGTATTAGATATTATTATGTATCTATATCTGGTTTTCTGCGTTTCTGCGTTTTTGCACAGAGTTATCACCGTTTAGAGTGATCTATTTAATTATTTTTATTTTTACACGAAAGCAAAATGTGTTGAATTATTAAGCCATATGGCCATAGAACAAAAATTATTGTTTATGATGTTTGTAATATAGTCCTGCGATGTTATTAATAATTTACAAATAACCTTGTATACGAATGGCAACTATGCGTAGAGTATTTGAGTATAAACTTGGCTGAATTACGAGCGCGAAATTACGTGCAATGCGACAATTTAAAGTGCAAAACGACGACTAGCATACTAGGAGCCGCGTTCCAAACACACACATTGTGTTTCACTTATTTGCGGTTCCGACACAACGCTTATATCACAGTGTTCTGACTACACAACAACAGAGTATGTATAATATGAATAAAACAGTTTAAAAAACTATAAAAAAGCCTAGGCTGCGTGGTCTAAAGATCTTTACCTTTCCACAAGGAAAAGTACATGACATGACATCAATAATTTCAATAACTCTGCTGTATTTTTTTTTCTTGAGTAATTATGAATAGTAAACGGAAGTCCCCTAGGTCAAAGCAAAAGGAAATGTATTGTGCAACTAATAGCTACTATACAACTATGGATAAATTGGTAAATACTCAGTAGGGGAGCGTGGGGGAATGGAAGCCTACTAAGGAAAACTGATAATAAATGTCATAATTTATGCAATTTTAATTTTTATTAGTTATGAACGTACGCTTCACATATCTGCGTACTAGATAGTCACAGAAAAAATGTGAAACTAAAATATAATATTTGGTTAAAAAGAAAAAAACTAAAATATGTCATTCGCTCTCATTACCCCACAGTTCGGGAAATGGGAGCCGGTAAGAATCCCGTATATCAAATGGGTGCCATTATATATAATCTGTCTGAAAAAAATATTAAAGTATTAAGGTTATTGTGATTTCAAGCATAACTTCCTATGCATTTTAATGCTTACCTGGGATGATGAAATTTGGCAAATGTTATGAGCGCGGAGCGAAAAACACACAACTATCATACGACTCAACGCAGGGTTTTACAAGGGCGCCTACGGGACTGGAACCTTGTCCAACGTTAACGAAGTCATAGTAGTACAGTTTGCACAAATACGAGCATTGG